TAACATGAGAATCGTGACAGGTAATACACTGAAGATTAGTGTTGTTAAGCCTGATTGCTGGACAATTAAGGATATTAACATTATCTGTTATAATATTAGAAATATCTTATTATTCAATACCTCATAATCTGAAAATATCAATTAATTTATTTTGTTTAGTGTGAAAGTGTAATCTGATCTGACAAAATATATTTATTGCCACTATTTAACACATGTCTGTTCATTGGAAATATAAAACAATCATTAATTGTACATCTGTAAACATCTGGTCATTCAATTCAAATGTTATCTTTGTACGAGAGCTGGAATAACATGTCCTCCTGACTCGTTCTCCTCCTCTTTATGACACTGAGTGTCTGGTGTGTAAAGGCATCCTGATACTGTAGATTAGCACTGAGGTGCTGATTGGCTCAAACTCGTCTTCATCAGAGCGCCATATTTCAACCCCCCCAATTGCTCTGTTTTTGTGTGGCTCATTCACTGAGCACTGTACTTGATCACCCAGTGAAATGGAGGCTCATCTGCCTGCATTCCTTCTGCTATCTGCTTGAGAGCAGTGCAACTGCGTATTCCAAGTGGCGCATCCAGTAGTAGGGGCTTTTAACAGCTTGCAAACCTACAGGCATCCCCTGCATAGCAGTATGAATAGCCTTAAAAAAACAATCCACTGTGTGGTAACGAAAGTCATGTATCTGAACCAAATGCCCTAAGTGAAGCCGTTAGTCTCATCTGACTGACCCAAGGGTTGGTGCTGGTGTGACAGGGAGGCTTCCAAGTGTTCAAAGCAGAGCTCAAGCTTTCAATTCATGGCTCAGTGGGGGGGAGCAGACCCATGTGAGACAGTATCAACGGCTGTAATGTTAGTTCACCTGAATGTTCAGTTTGAGGAGTGTCATTCTCTCTGGGAGCAGGAAATGGTGTCCATTCTCGGACCAGACCATTAATGTCATGTAGCGCAGCCATAGCATCTCTGTGACTGCACTCAGCCGGACTGTAGAAGGGCAGAACTGGGTGACTTTTAGTGAAGCCGTCCAAGGCCATAGACAAAATGGAACCACGTACTAACGAAAATGACACAAGGTCATCAATGTCTCTCTTTACCTTTGGCCTAATCATAAAACAAATTAGTGGGAAAAATGTGGAACACTACTCCATCATCATGTGAAATGTTGAGTTAACTTAAATAATTACTTATGGGTTGAAATCAAATTAACATTAACATTAGAACTAAAGTCAGTCAAAATTGGACTCGCACGGATCAGAATCTAAGCAATACACCATTTTCCCAGCTCTGTAAATGAAAAGGACAACGAGATTAGGTACATTACGGGAGGTACAACGGACTCTCCTTCACAGGCCCACACAATAAATTATGAGACTTCCAAATCCTAACAGACAGAGATCAGTATCACTTTGTTTTGCAAGCCAAATCCACAAAAGGGTTCTACTTGGCCCAATTGAAATACCATAAAGAGAGTATTAACCCAGCTCAAGCTAAATGTCAAATGTCTTTAATTAATGTGCAATTGTTTTGTTTTCTTCAAAAAATTCCAGTCTAGTTTCCTTCGAGTTCAGTCTAAGCTACGAATTGTTTCTCATAAACATTCTCACTGCTGCCCCAAATGTTTTAAGCCTTGGGCAGACAAGCTTTTCACACAAACACACCATCAACGTCGCCCGCTCTGGCCCCCGGAATGCATGTGACTTTGGAGGCTTCGGTCTCTAAATTTGCAAACATGCAAAGAGCAGTTAGCAGCAAAGCACATTTTCATCAAACAAAGTGTTGTTTATTCAGCGCATTTTAAGGTCGAAGGCACAATGAAGAGTGAGTGAGTCCATCACTATGAAAGAGAATTCATTCCTCCTTTCCACACATGCCATGAAGATATTTTTTACAATAAGCTATCTGAGTTCGCCAAAATCAAATCTTTGTCCTTCTTCTTCTTCTTGTTTCATTGCTGGCGTGGTATCAGAGCACTATATACTACTAGCATGATGTATCCCTCTGCCACAGGTTACCAATCACCGGTGTCCAGGAAAAAGACTCCTAATAATCGAAGAAAACCACTTTCTCTGGCAAACTCACACTGACAAAACCTTGTAGCACCAGCAACGTCATGTTTTGATGTTCCGTTTTTTTAAATAGTTTTCAGTAGTTTGCAAAAGTTCTGTGCTTTGCTTCTTTAGCAATCAGCTTGACAGTGGCTTTAATTTCTTCAATTTGTCTGCGATATCGTCTGCATAGAGTGTATGTGGTATGTGCATGGTGTTTTTCCTATTTCTGGATAAATAGATCTCTGGAAGGTAATCAGATATCTGTAAGGTGTCAGGCTCTAAAATAAGTGCTGGTTGGGTTGTCAAATAGCATCTAAAAAAAAAAAAAACTGTTCCACAACCTTCTGATGCACGGTTTGACATGCTGGGATACTTCTGAAAATGATTGAAATGGATAATCTGACCAATGTGGCAACTCCACACCAGTCTTTCTTCCCACAACTAATTATGTGTCTTTCACATGAACTACTGGAGGAAACATCCTAAACTTCTCATGGAAAGATGTCCAACATTTTCGACTTTATCCTCACTGGTTTGTAATTCAACCAAAGCAGTCTGGTCTGTTTTCAAACCTTGGCTGGTACAACTTTAAAACAAGTTCATTAAGGCTGACAAAATGTTTTCTGTTTCTATTGATTGGTGAGTTTTTAGTTGGTCAAGAGTGTTGACCAGTGTCCAGGTCAGCATGACCTACCAGTATCCTTTAGGCCTGTCACAAAGATAATGTGTCCGTCTTATCAGGGGACAAATAGCTTGGGCTGGTTGCACATTAATAGATTTCCTTTAGGCCTGTCATTATAGATAAGTGTTTGATGAGTTTGTCGGTGTCAGAAAATTAGGCAGAAGATCGGAAGCCAAAAAACAGATGGATGACATTATACAGACAGTTCAACAGAAGTCTTTCACATATTAGCACATTCTAGTTTTTAGGCTTCTTCCTCATCACCACCCTGTGAGCTGCTACAAAGACTTTATTTTAAGAGTCTTCTGCAGTTACACACTCAAATGATTCAACACTGTTTGACCGTACAATAAAAAACTAAATCGAACTACTTCTCCGAAGTGGTCATTGCCTTCCCCCACCGACCCTGTATGTTGGAGCAGATAGAGGATCTGATTTTGGCATCAGTCCATGGTATTCGTCTGTTGTGGGTCATCGTGGACAGCCCCACCAGTGCCAGGGATTGAAGCTGGTGGAGCTGTGGGAGAACTGCGAACAATGGAATGGGATTGAGCTCAGGGTTTGTTCCTGTCCTTTTTAGTTATCCATCATGCAGTTCACTGAATCCTCATCTGGCCTAGAACCCAAGTTCACACAGATAACTATTTCGCACAAAATACGGCGGCATACTGTATATCATCACTGTTGTTTGACAAACATACACCTCCAAAATGAAAGGCTACAAATGTCCAGTCAAAGCATACCCTATACTTTATGTTGCTCGACTACTTGGTCAAAACAGAGCTATTTGAACAACTATCGTAAAGATCGCCATTAAAAAAAAAAAGGATTATTCCTGAGGTATCCCCTGATTTGGTCTTTCTTTTTGAAGTAGCATGTCTTGCCATCTACTGGATGGATTGGAACAAAATGTGGCACTAAGTCAATGGAAAAAACTAAACATTTTGGGACCAAAGACGTCATGGACTGACACAGGAGTTTTAGTACCACCATTTGTGACCCGCTCTATCGAAATCAGTCGGAAGTCGCAAAGGCTCATTTCAAAATAAACGTGGATTTGCGTAAAAAAATTGTTTTTTGGGGTTCGGGTGTTTTGTTTGATTTTAAATAAACAAAGTCTTGGCTTTCAGAATTTGAAACTTTCATTTCCAAAATCACACGATAAATACATTTTTGAAGCTTGTAAAGGGAAGATGACAGCTCTCACTCGCCACTCTGCTGTTCCGCAGCGCCGCTCCCCTCCCTCCGGCTGAAATTATGAATGTAAGGCGTATAGTAATCATAGATAACACAGTTACAGTTTGTTTTCATCTGATTTCAATTAAACAAAGTCTTGGCTTTCAACTTGTTTTGGCAAATTCAGATGATAAACACAACTTTGAAGCTTGTAACGGCATAATTACAAGCGGAGAACGGACTAACTTGACGTCACAGCAGGCATAACAACAGCCGGTGTTTCTCGTGAGTGTTTTCCCTGGGAAACAAACAATACACAGAAATGCAAAAATACACAAACACGCACACACGTATACACACACACACACTCGCGAGCTTCCCCCAGACCAGTAATCCAAACGAAAATATCTTCCCTCCGTAGTGTTTTGATCATTTGCTCCGCTAATAATCAATCAGATTGATGGAATTCCAGAGAAGAGGTATACTTTGAAGGCCTTTTTCTCAAAATGATGACTCGGTGACAGTCATTATATAATGTGACATATTTTGCTTAATATTTGGAGTACAAAAATAATCCTGATATCATTAGAAAGCTAGGAGTCTCCTCTTTCCAACAGTGTAAACAACTCAAAATGTGTCTTCGGGTCAATGCGACTGATTTCAATGGAGCAGGTCACATTTGGCAACTACGAAAATTTGCTTCAATGTCCGTCGCATTTCCTTGGTTTAGTCACCTAGGGATTTAACATGCCTTGGAAACACAACATTAGTGAGGAGGGTGAGCGATCCCAATGCTAGGTGTGAGAAATTCTTAGAAATGTTGATTAAAAAAAACAAAAAAAGAATGCATTAATAAAAGACAATTAATCTAGCTGTAGATTTGTCCATGTTTGACTTTGCATGCTGCTGTACCGTATCATAAAGGGTATGAGATCGTAAACCCAATCAAGGCTGAGAGGAACAGAGTTGTTGTTTAATCATGTATTTCTAAGATGTCTAAGAAAGTACAGTCGCCCAGTCTCCATTCCACAACCTCTTCACTGTGTTAAGTCTCCTAAAGTCCAACTCTTCTGTGTGTTTTAGGTGCCTATTGGTACAGACACAGATGGCATGAACATCCTTGGTCTGGTGTTATTTGCGATGGTGTTTGGCGTGGCGCTGAGGAAGCTGGGAGAAGAGGGGGAGGAACTCATCCGTTTCTTCAATGCTTTCAACGAGGCCACCATGGTGCTGGTGTCCTGGATCATGTGGTGAGTGAAGTAGATTGCATGTGGGGTTCCAATGATATAAATAGTCATGGTACATTTGTATTGTATTGGATGGTATTTTGTGATAACACTCAACATGTAAAAGGTTTTATGAGGTAGGCACTGACTGTCTGTAACAACCTTTGGTTGTTAATGTTATTATCCAACATTCTAAAAGCATTCCTCCTCCTTTTTCTTACCTCTTGTGTCTCTCAGGTATGTCCCTTTTGGCATCATGTTCCTTGTGGGCAGTAAGATTGTGGAGATGGAAGATGTTGGTCTTCTGGTCACTAGTCTGGGAAAATATATCTTTGCTTCGATCCTGGGCCACATTATCCACGGCGGCATCGTCCTGCCCCTCATCTACTTCGGCTTCACACGCAAGAACCCCTTCAGTTTCCTGTCAGGCCTCATCACACCCTTCACCACGGCCTTCGCCACTTGCTCAAGGTACAGTATAACATCACGTCGCAGGGTCCCAGATGACCATAACTCAAACGGAAAATAAGTTCTGCTTTTTAGTAATAGAGTGGTGTATTAATGTATTAAAGTCTTGGTTCCCTCGTCTAGAAGTCAATGGTTTTTTGAACGTTTAATAGTTGTGCAGTTAGAAGCCTGAAATAACATATTTGAATAAGCTAACAGGACATTCACATTTTGTTCTACAACATAAAATACGTCAGTATTATATACCCCTCTCATTAATGTCCAAAGTTAACATTGTAATTTAGCCAAATTCAATTACGCCTCAAAATCAAAAAGTTATGTTAATATGTGGAGATAATCCTGCTAAACAAAACAAGTTAGGTATCATAAATGTGTGTTAGTCACAGAGCTGATTTTCTGCAATATACCGACATCCAATAGGTTTGTATAGCCCTTTAAGGAACCCTTGTATGGAGTGTCACATTCTTGGAACTGTATGTTATTCAATTGTAACTATTAATGGTATTGGTTTTAATTGGCTGATAAAGTTGAAATGGTTATGCTGTATCTCTATCTGTTTTTCTCATCAGTTCAGCAACTCTTCCCTCCATGATAAAGTGTATCGAGGAGAACAATGGAGTCGACAAGCGCATCAGCCGCTTCATCCTTCCCATTGGGGCCACTGTCAACATGGACGGAGCAGCCATATTCCAGTGCATCGCTGCTGTCTTCATCGCTCAGCTCAACAATTATGAGCTGAACGCTGGACAGATATTCACCATCCTGTGAGTTCAGGGAACGATAACACATTTTCTTCCTATTGCTCAGCATGAGAAGAAAACACATACCAAAATCCACATTCCATTGATTGGTTCTTACATTGAAAAGTCTGCTTTCTGTTCCATGCGTGTTATTAGTAGTAGTTCATATAATTATTTCATCATTATTCCTAGTGTGACAGCTACAGCCTCAAGTGTGGGTGCAGCAGGCATCCCAGCTGGCGGCATCATAACCATCGCCATCATCCTGGAGGCCATCGGCTTGCCTACCAACGACCTATCACTTATGCTGGCTGTTGATTGGATTGTGTAAGTAAAGCCTGCAAATAACAACTGAAATTAGTATTAAAAAACACCCAGAGCTACGTCTAATCATGTCTGTAAACAAGTTACCAACATTATGGTTAGCTTAACTAGACCAGGGTTCCTGGGAAACCTGAACAATCTGTTCTGTACTTGTACCAGCTTGCCTTGCTGGAGTAGAGAACACACAACAGCAGCATGATAAACATGGGCACGTTACTACTTAACCACCTCTGTGGAGATTCCAAGCAGGCTGAGCCCAAGCCCTCAAGAAGAACCAATTTTCATATTGGTCAGATTAGGGAATTACAAGTTAATTAATGGTAACCTGCAGTTGGTCCATTGATGAGGTGCAAACTTATCCCTGTTTGGTTGTCAATGGGAGGATTCAACACATTTATTTTTGAATGATTTGAAGGCAGTTTGATGTGGTGGCGACACGGCAGTCAACTGAGAGTCTGAGCTACACGTAGTTGTACAAACCGTTGCTATCTTCAGTGAACTCAGTGGCAGGATTCTAAGGTCTAAACCAGGGCAAATAAAGCCACGCTTGCATTGCAGATGAGACAGATGGACTTTGAATTGGAATAAACAAAAAAATCATCCTCCCACTTGGAGTGAAAATGATATATTTTGGGCTTTTTTGCTTCTGCCATAATTGCGGTCTTGTGTGTGTGCGGAATATCTCCAAAATATATCATTTTCACTCCAAGTGGGAGGATGATTTTTTTGTTTATNGGCGAGCTCCAACAAGCCGTTGTAGGACAGAGAGTGAATACACATACTATACAGAGATGCTGTATGAGAAACCAATGTGAGTTTGGAAAATTGCACAGTGTAAATCTATTCTAGTATACCTCAACAATGGAATTATGATCAGTAGAAATGGCCAAGACATGGGACCTTTAAAAAATGTATCATGATAAAAATAATCGGTACCACCAATAAGACTACCCTTATAAAGGATTCATAAAGGGTTTATAATTAGGTTATGAATTAGGTTGTAAACACTTATTTAATCATTAAACCAGTTCTAACATAGTTTTCATACATCAACACAGGCGCACTATTTGGCAAGAGGACTAAGCCTTATATTGACTACTTAGCAATAATCAACTCAGTGAGCAACAGATGCCAAGGATGCTGGCTGATGAAGAAGACGAAGTAAGCTAAGTAGCCAATATAAGACTTAGCAGTACAGATCAATTAGGGCTCACTATTTGGCAAGCAACCGGTCACAGTTGCCCTGTTTATCTCATGTCTTATAAAAGCTTATTAATGATTTATAAAGTGTTCACAACCTAATTAATAAATGAATTACAAACTATTCCTAAACCCTTTATAAGGGTAGTCTTATTGTAAAGTTGTACCAAATAATCAACACTGAGGGTGTTAAAAAGAGAAAGTACAAATAATATGAAACAACTAAAATAAATTAATATAAAATATATAGTACATGTACACATTAAATGTAATTACATGTGATTGTACCAGATATACTTAATGAAATCTAACCATAAATCTTTAGGTTAACAGAGCAGTGGTTAGCTTAAAAAAGTAATCAGTTACTGTAAATCTGAATGAATGAGTAAGAAATGTTCAACATACTAGTTTTCACAGTATCAACATACAAACTAAAACTAAAACAGTACCATTGCGTCATAATGAGCACCTCAGACGTTAGGGGACAGCGACATACATTTAGCTTCATGATGTTCCTTCAACTTTTTAAGGGTCTTTACCCAAAAATACAGTATTAAATCACAGGACTCGGCAATGGAGCAGTTGTTCCCCATGAATGTTAAATAAAAGAAGAAATAAATAGGAAATATTACGAGTTATTTAACGACAAAGTCTGCTGAAAACTCTAAAGTGTTGACCCGACAATGGCTGTTTACTACTTCCCCCCTAATATCACCACTAGAGGGCAGCAAAGGCTAATTATTTCAGTCAAGTCTTGCATCCAAAAGGGAAATGTCATGCTTAACCATCAAAAATGTGATAATTTCCTACATTTAAAAAAATAAACCAGACTGAATTAAATCGAGTAAAATCTACCTTAAAGATTTAGCAAATGTAGCCACTAAGTTCTGTGTTAGTTCCAGACTTCTATGATACAAGCCCATGAGACACCACTGAGCTGGATAACCAACACAAAGGATCGATTCCCAAAATAATGATAAACAGTATGATGTGAAATCATCATGCATTTTGGTCCAATGTGTGTAAACATTTGATAAAGATTTGTTTGAGTGAATTCCTTGTGGATTTCTTAATCCTAAACTACTGACCTTACTGACAACCATAACTTGAATATATGTTAATAAATGGGAGTGTTTTCATGATGTTACACCAACATGTATTTTTACCGTACTTGTCCCGTGAATGTCTTTAAGCAACCCTTTTGACAACAACAGTGGGTTGCAATTGTATCTCATAGATATCTTGTCTTTTTCCATAAATCAATCTTTTCACAATTGTTTAGTTTGTTACATTACCACTAGTATCAGGTTAGCTAACCTCAACTTAGTCTAAATACCTGATAAGCAACCATTTGCAAAAAAATAAAGAAAGAGCAGTTACTGTAGTCTCATAGCTTACTTTTGGCTGCATGTTAGCATTGCTTTAGCCAGCTGATTAGCTTGCAAGCAAAGTTCAAAACAAACTAGCTACTTTTCAGACTTGTTGATAACATTTTTATCAAAAGCAATTAGCTTCAAAGCTAAAATTACTTTTTGATAAGTCACACAATTATGTAGTAATAAAAAGGGTAAGAAATATCCACATGCAAACATTTGCATAGCTAACTAGCTTATTAAAAATTTGATTTGGCTAGCTCACCAAAACCGCTGCGTGTAGCCAGCCATTAGTGGATTCTTAAAAAGCCTCTAGGAGCAAATGTCTAAAGGAAAGTGTTCTAAACTGCTTTCATAATATAATTAGAGAAGCATACTTAAAAAATGCTACTCATATCAGATAGGAGACCACGGAAGGTAAAGTAAGTTACTTTATAAAGTTGTCAGTTGGCTTTTTCTGATTTAAAACCGCGGTACCAAATAGTCCAATGTTCAAAATGCCTTACCAAACGGGAACAGTTTGTCAATAGATAAACGGGTTGCATGAGGTCAAATGCTTAGCCTTTGATTTGAAGGGTTAATGTTTGACATCTGCTGACGGTCAGCAAATTAGGAACATCTTGTAAACATCTCACTGAACTATGACAAACTACCATTTCTAAAATGGGGACAAAACAGTTCCCTTTTTCACAATATTCTGACTTTGAAAGAATCAAACTGACGTTTCCATTAGACAAAGAAAGTAAAGCGAATTAATTGAACAAATAAAATGCAAATTAGTATGTTTCCACCAGCTAAGTTAAAGTGATTGAACAGGCACCCTGAATGTGTAAATAAGTTAGGACAGACAATGTCAAGCATGTGTTAGACACTTTGGCTTGTCAGCATTTGGTTGTTAGTGTTCTATAGTTTATGTTGGCCGTTGTATTTGCTGTCTAAAGATAAAAACAGATAAATGCACTTGAGGTGCTCTAATGTACAAACTTATGGCTGTGAGCATCTCATTACATCAGACAAACACAACTACGGCATTTATGGGAATGTTTTAGGGATATTGATAGACATCAAATGTTTCCCTTACTGACTTTTGCAAAATACGTAAACATTTTTAAAAAATACAAACAGAAGTACCTCAAGTGATTTCTTTTAAAAACTAGACTGGGGAAATGTTTTTAAAAAGCAATAGTTCTGAAATTCATTATGTCCTAATCTGCAGTAAACCCAGTTATTTTAACCAAGTAGATACACTGTCAATGCTCTAGACAGACTGTTGCTATGGCACTTTGTTTTCCCTCCAAGTGATCCATCAGTGACCTTGTGTTTTTGAATTGACTCTGAGTGAGAATGGTGTCCCATCAGCAGCATCATCAGAAATAGTGAAAGGCCGGGAAGCAAGAAAGAAAAGTCTTGCGCATTTTACAAGACAGACTCAATGGCTTCCGGCATGGCCGCTGAGGCTTTGGTTTGATGTGTGACAAGCGGGGAGGTCTCCTCTTCCGCCTGGGCATTAGCCACCGCCTCCACCCGGACCTCAGCCAGCTCCCCATCCTGCTGCTGCTGCTGCCGCTCCTGCTGCTTCTTTATTTCCTGTTCGTTGATGTGGTGGAGGATTCCAGCTCCCAAAGCATCGCCTTCCACATTCACCACCGTTGTGGTACGATCCCTGTACACAAAGTAGGAGTAAGAGACAGACAGCTGAGTTTGGTGTACCTTAAAAGGCACCTATTATGCTATATTTGAAAAAATATATTGTAGGGCCATACCTATACAAAACATGTCTGTGAAGTTCTTTTGCTTAAAATACCAAACAAATCACCCATTGTAGCCATGCCTCATACCCCTCTATTCTCCTCTATTCCAGCTCTGTTCCAAAAAGGCTGATTCTGTGACCGTAGCTTTAAATGGAACAGCTGCTGCTAGCCACGCCACTTTGTAGCATCATGCAGCTTTCCCCTGCTAAGAGAGTTTCTCCCGGGAGAAACTCAGCTAAACGCTGCGGTGATTAAATGCCATATTATGTTCCCAACCACTTCAAGCATTATTTCTGAAACAGTATGGAGCTCAAACATTTCTCTCTCTCAGGGTTTACCGCAAGGACATTACGT